AAAATGAACAGAATATGAAAAAGAGCACACATGTAAAATAAATGTGTAGAAGTGTGCAGACAGAAGTGATATGAGCACAAAAGTGAATGTTTAAATTTAAATATATACTTGATGAAATTCTATTATACCTCATCCCTGTTCAGAGTTACTGGTTTAGGCATAGGTATATGACTCAAGTAGATCTATTCTGAGTCTGTTTTCAGGGACTGAATTTGGACTTCAGGAAAAAGTGTCTCTCTCAGAATCCAGAGACAGTAAGGTCCATTGTTAAGTCCAGAGTTGCCAAGGAAATTTCTTTGTCACATAATCATGCCAATATAGTAAATAAGAGGTCTAAGAAGTAAAGGGAGAAATCATGATGACCTCATTTGAACTCCAGGATCCAGTTGAACTAGCAACTAGACTACCTGTGGACTTGGCAATTCATGAATAATTCGGTCATGGTGACCTCACTGACATAATCCTGACTTGAGTCCTCCACCGTGTGAGGTCACAGTGAGAAGACCACTATCTATGAACTAGGAAGCAGACTCTCATAGACACTAAATGTGTTGGCACTTGGATCTTGGACTTCCCAGCCTCCAAAACTGTAAGAAATAAATGTTTGTTGTTTATAAGCCCCAAAAAAGAAAGAATCCTGATTGATACCCAAGTTGACTTAGAAGAGTTTGCTAACATATCACAAACTTGCTTCTCTGTTACCTGGATAAGGTCTCACACATTTACCTGAAAATCTTATAGCTATTTATTGTCCTCCTATTCCTTCTTCACTGGGGGATGATTCTTCCCTCAGTTTTTAAAATGGAAAAACATTTAAACATGTGGTAGTTAAGGGGTTCAGGGGAGGAAAAGCATTCTTCACTCAGAGACCACCCTCCTACTGGACATTCACTGGGTTTTCCTGCCCAGTCCTTTAACATTAACACATTAGAGAAAACCTAAGTCCACCTAAGAGATCCTGGCTGCTATGGGATAACAGACCAATTTCCCACAGAGGAGAAAGGACTGTCTGGAAAGCTGAGAGAAACCAGTGTGGCTCAAAGTTCAGCTGCCTCATTCTGAGAGCCATGCAGCTGTGTTGCTGGGTCATGGGGAACAGTGAAACCTGCCCCGCGATGATCGAGGAACTCAACCCCAAGAGAATGTGGCCAAGAGTCTCAGACAGCTCAACTTCCAATTTTGATATTACAAGTATCTAAAACCAACACTTGAAGAAGGTAAAACAAAGTGTCTTCTTTTGAAGTGAGAATTATAATATATTGGCCTAACAGGTAAATATTGACTAAAGGAAAAGAGAGAGGATTATTACATCATGATATAAACCATAATCTTAAATTCAGTCTGTGTGTTGTTACTACACATGAACTTTCTGTCCTTAGTCAAAATTGACAAACTGACAAAGAGTTCATTACAGGAGATAAAATATGAAGGAGGCCAATCAAAACATATTTGAGAGGCTTAAATTTCACTCAGAATTCCCAGGAGAGCCTCTAAAACCAGTAAAGAGAAGCTCTTGTATTCTCTCCTTTGGACATTTTTAATGGAAACCATAAGTAAATATTTTATTACATATATTTACATAATGTGAACTTGCAGAACTCTTGAGGTAGTTGTACTGTAGTTTTTATTCTATGAAAGAGAAAATATAAATCCAAAAGATTATATAATATATGCTGCCAAAACATTTAGGCCAAATTTGATGTTTTAAAAAATACCGTCTTCCATATAAAAGTATTCTTTAAATTTTTTTCTTTACATTAAAACATTTTCATCTCCTGGGGCTAAGGTGAGTACTGTGAATTCTGAAGAGCTGTGGAAGGAGAGGGAGGAAGAGTCCCCAGGCCAGCCATGCCTGGCAAACTCTGCACAGGGCCCATAGACTTAAGTGAATACAAATGCTCCTCTGAATGAACCTAAGAAGATATCATAACTGCTTCATCTAATTAAAACACTAACAAAACCTAAAGCAGGGGCTTAAGAACCATCTTCTACACCAGTCTTTCAGCCATTCAGCTGTTCCCCCCCGTGTGCCTGCCAGGTGGCCCCTGACACAGTCTCAAGCGGGTGGAGCTCACATTTTGAAGCCACTGCTCCATTTCTGAAGAGCTTTGGTCATGAGAAACCACTTCCTTACACAGATGCATGACACTCAGAAATAGAGCCCTAGTTTATTTCAGCACTGGACCTCTGTAAGAGGTAAGCCCTCCATTAGAGGAGCTCACAGCCTAAGGTGGTTGGCAGATATACCAATGTGGTGACAATATAATGTTACTAATGCTATGAAAGAGGACAATTACAAAACCTTACTGCATGGGAGCAAGTTGAGCTGCAATCTGTTTTTACTTCAATGAGAACATGTCTAGTGTTTTATAATTTATAACAACATAAATGCAATGTTGACATTGATGATCATAAAAATGATAACAAGGACAGCAGCAGTGACCATTTGTTTAATGTCTCCTTTGTGCCAGGGTCTCCACACACATTAATGTAGCTTTGGCAATAGCCATGTACACCATATTTCACAGATGGATCATCTGAGGCTCAGAGAGGTTCCAAGTCACTTGTCCAGGTTTACCTGGCTGGTAAGTAACAACGCTGGATTCAAATTTAGAGCCTTTCCTCCTTTTATTACCACCCTTCACCCCCGCTAATGTCACCATAACTTTAGGACATGATACAACCCAATTTTTCGTCTCAGTGGACCACAGCTAGAAATGCCTCTCTACGTCTTCTGATCCCATAGAAGCCACATTCTTGCTATGGATTCATAAGTTCTGTCAGGAATTTTCTCAGCCTTGTACACAGTCACATCTCTGACCCTGCAGATGCTTTTTTGGTTCCCACTGCCAATCTCCTTGGCCACTTGTAGCAGGGCCTGATTCTAGAGTAACTACTAAGCTGTCAACTCTAGTTCTACTTAACTAAAGCCCTTGAGATCCAACAATCCCTTTCTAAACTTCTAGCTTACAGTCATCTTTAGCTGGTGGCAGGGTGACTGTCTTATTACAGGTGGGAATATCATGCTTCCCCTGCCTTGCCAAGGGTGAGACCAGGGCCTTTCAGACCTGGGTCACTTGATCTCACCTTTACCCACTGCTAAGATTGGACTGTGGTGACAGAGGCTCTTCTTGACCCAGTAGGACACTCCTTTTAATCCAGAGTGTAGGGGAACAATGCTATTAAGTGTATTTCACTAGCAAAAATAATTGCAATTTTCCAGGTCACTAATGGCCTTTGTGTCACTAAATTCAAACCTTTTTAGGCCTGACTTGGCCTGATCTTCTAGGGCATCTGAGGCTGTGGTGATTTCTCCCTTGCTGAGACCCACTTCCGTTGGCTACGGGCCCCACTCTGGGTGTCCAACACTGTGGCTGCTCCTTCTCAGGTTCCTCTTCCTCTCCTATCCCTTCCATGTACATATGCCTCTAAGCTCTGCCTGGGCCACCTTCTTTTCCCATTCT